ACGGGGCGGCAGATGAGGGACACGCAGGAGGAGGGTCTGCAGCAGCTCGAAGGGGCTGGGCAGGGGGTGACCCCAGAACAGACAGGTTTGCAGCAGATGGGTGTGCAGCAGACAGGTGTGCAGCAGACAGGCGTACAACAGACTGGCTTACAGCAGACGGGTGTGCAGCAGACGGGTGTGCAGCAGGCGGGCACACAGCAGGCCTGCTGGCAGGGGGAGGAGGTGCAGCAGGAGGGCTGGCAGCTAGACTGCTGGCAGCATGAGGGCGTGCAGGAGCTGGTGCAGGTTGACTGACAGGGGCTGGACACACAGCTCACTGGGGCACAGACAAGGGTCAGGCAGGGGGTCAGGGTACAACAGCTGGGGGTGCAACAGGTAGACTGGCAGCAGCTGGGGACACAGCAGCTGGAGGTGCAGCAGGAGGGCTGGCAGCAGCTGGAGACACAGCAAGTGGGGGCGCAGCAGGAGGGCTCACAGCAGCTCTCTGGACAGTCGTCCACCTGCCAGGAGGAGTCCATGCAAGAGTCACAGGACCCGGGCATGCAGGCCCGGCTGCCATAGCTCAGGTCATTGGAGCAAACGGACAGGGTGGAAGCGGCCATAGTGGTGAAGTGGGGCTGGAGGAGGGTGTGAGTGTGTGAGTGTGTGAGTGAGTGTGAGTGTGTAAGATGCCCAGGGCTGCTGGCTTTTATACCCTCGTGGTGTTTGTTTTCCAAGCAGGAGGCTCCCCACACCTCCTTTCCTTGTTGATATTTTGAGCTGAGTCCTGGGCGCCCGTATTTCCTCTGGATTATTTCCAGGAAAGAGTCTGCTGCTTGTAAAAAGTCTGTTTTGTTGAAGAGGGGCTTGGCCCCCTGCCCTGTGTGTGTTTCCTAAGAAAACACCCCTGGAAACATCTGGAGTGGGGGAGCGCTGGCAGCCCCAACTGCCCTGCCGTGCTCCACTGCCAGCTGTTCTCCCTGACGTTGCAAGGGATGGTTTGAATCCCAGAGTCAGAGGCTGGGCAGCAGGGGCTGAAATTGGGGCTCTGCTGCTCATCGCTGCTGGACATCCCCACACACAGGGGGCTGAGGAGGGGCCACCAGCCACAGCGGAACGCAGTAAAGGGTAAGGTAGACGGACGAGTGTCTCAAACAGCAAGAATGACAATAGCTTTGGCTATTTGAGCTCCTTTGCCCTCCAAATACTTTTACATTCAGCTTATTGATAACAAAAAATAATTCTGCTCCTTTTTTTATTGGGATTGCCTTGAATCTACAGATCAATGCGAAGGTAACTGGCATCACAATGTCTCCACCGTGAAGAAGTTCTACTTCCCCTTTTTATTCATGTCTTCCTTCCAGTTCATTTTCAGCAGTGTTTTTATAGATTTTCATTAAATTATCTTTATGCTAGTTTTTCATTTTAGTTGAAGCCTAAGTTTTAAA